CCAAAGCATATGATAATGTTCATTGGGGATTTCTCGAAAATGTTCTTGCAGCTTTAGAGATTCCAGATATCTTCAGGGAATGGATCAGAGAATGTGTTACAACCACCTCCTATAGTGTGCAAATCAATGGAGAATTGGTGGGTCATTTTAATGGAAGAAAGGGACTCAGACAAAGTGACCCAGTATCCTCCCTTCTCTTTGTGCCTATTATGGACGTTCTGTCCAGATTATTGGATAGAAGAGCGATAGAAAATGTGTTTGGCCTGCATTCGAAATGTCAAGCTCCATTGGTTACTCACCTTAGTTTTGATGATGATGTCCTAATGTTCTTTGACGGATCAGAAGATTCTCTTAGAGGCATTCTTGGTATCATAGAAGATTTTCGCTTGGTCTCGGGATTGTTCATTAATCGCAGCAAAACATAATTATTGATTGATGAAGGAAGCAATGCTCGGTGTAGAGATCTTGCAGTTAGAGTTGGTATCTCCCAAGGATCCTTACCAGTGAGGTATCTAGGGGTCCCCTTGCCTGCTCGGAAAATGAACAAATCAGACTTTTAGCCTCTTCTAGATAAATTAACATCTCGGTTTAGATCTTGGACAGTAAAACATATTTCTTTCTCAGGGCGTCTAGAGCTGATTAAGTCTGTCATATCTCTACTATTACTTTCTGGGCATCTATATTCATTCTGGCTAATGATTGTGTGACTGCCCTTGAAAGTATGTGTAATGGATTCTTCTGGAAATGAGCACCGAACTCAGCTAGAGGGACCAAAATTGCTTGGGACTCAGTTTGTACCCCTAAAAGTAGCGGAGGCTCAGGGCTTAAAAGAACTGCTGAGTGAAACAAAGTTCTTGCTCTTAAACTTATTTGGCTATTAGTTGCGGAGAACGATTCTCTTTGGGTGGCTTGGGTTAAAGTAAACTTGATCGGCTCTTCTAATTTTTGGCTCCTTGATGATCGACATAATGGAAGCTGGATATGGAAATCTCTGTGCAAGATGTGCCCCCTCGAAAGGCAGTTTATAGTCTGTGAAGTTGATTCTGGTATCACTACTAGTTTTTGGCTCGACTCTTGGTCTCCTCTCGGTCCTTTGATTGAGATTTTTGGCCAGATGGTCCTTCTGTTACTGGTGGGTGATGAGGATGAGAACGAGAAATCCTATCATCATGTTCTTAAAAGAAAATCTTCCTTCGGAAGTGGATATTATAAATTCAAACAGCGATGATCCTTATGGTTGGAAAGTGGGGTCTCAGTCTCATGTGCAGAAATTTCCCACAGCAAAAACTTGGGCGTTTTTTTTCCCCCGCAGCAAGATGTCTCTTGGCACAAACATGTTTGGTTCTATGGTCATATTCCAAAGCATGTGTTCTTCACATGGGTCAATGTCAGGCACATATTAGTCACCAGAGACAGAATGAGGAGTTGGGGACTTGACGTTCCAGCAACCTGCATATTATGCTCTGCAAATAATGAAACTCACCAACATTTTTTCTTTGAATGCCTCTTTAGTGCATCAATCTGGGACTACTTCATGAACCGAGCTAATCTTCACCATCCTCCAGCTTTTGACGCAACACTACGGTGGCTGGATAAACCATCTTCAAATCACCATATTGTCCTTATTATTAGACTTATCTATCAAGCCTCTATGTACTCTATTTGGAATGCGAGGAATGCAAGACTCCACTCCACCGTTTCCCGCTCACTCGCTGCTATTATAGCAGAATTCAAAGACATTCTATGTCTCCGGTTAGACCCACTCTCCAGAGCCTCTCCATCGAGATCCCTATCGACGTCTACACCTTCCATTTCTTTACTCGGTACTTGGCTTTCTCTCTTCGAACTTGATGTTTTCTTTTCTGTCGTTTTGGAACAATTAACAGACCGTGTTGGTTCAGCTTTTGAAGGATCTTATGGTCTTGTAACGGATTTTAATTAAAAGTAATGGAAGTAACATTTAAAATAATAATAATAATAATAATGTTCTAAGTTGACGTTGGTAGGTACATATCAGAAATACATATCTATAGTGTTTAGTTTAGGTTATTGATGTTCGAACAAAACTTAGGTTCACCTTAGGGTGAACTTTCAAATTCACCTCACCTCTAATAAATGCCACATAAATTAATGAATAATTAAATATTTTTAAAAATAAAAAATAAAAGAGCTTAAAAAAAATAACCTCAACTATAACGACGCTGACACCGTTAGCTAAACCCTAAATCTAAACCGTAACCCTAAACCCTATTTAAACTCTAAAATCTAAACCTTAAACCCAAACCCTATATCCTAAAACCCAACTGAAACCCTAAACTCAAATTATATACCCTAAATCCAAATTATATATCCTAAAACCTAAATCCTAGACTCTAAACCAAAACATTATACCCTAAATCCAAACTCTAAATCCTAAACTCTAAAACTTAAACTCTAGACCCTAAATCCTAAACTTAAACTTTAGATCTTGAAACCATAAACCCAAACCCTATACCTTAAATTCAAGGTTAAACTGTAAATTCTAAACTCAAATCTTATGTCCTAAATATTTGGTTTAATGTTGATATTATTCCTTTAAAGTTTAATGTTAGGATTTAAGGTTTAAATTTAGAATTTACGGTTTGAATTTATGATTTATGGTCTAGAGTTTGGATTTAGACTCTAGGTTTGAATTCAGGGTTTAAAGTTTGGGTTTAGGATTTAGGGTCTATAATTTAGGGTTTAGGGTATAGTGTTTGGATTTAGAGTCTAAGATTTAAGTTTTAGGGTATATAGTTCAAATTTTGGGTACAGGATTTGGATTTAAGATCTAGGTTTGGATTTTAGGATATAGAATTTAGGTTTAGGATATAGATTTTGATTTAGGGTTATGGTTTAGATTTAGAGTTTAGCTATCGACGTTAAAGTAAGCGTTATTTTTATTTTTTTAGTTATTTTAGATTTTTTAAAATATTTAATAATTTTTATTCATTAATATGTATGTGACATAATATGTGGTTATTAGAGATGAGGTGAATTTAAATATTTACTCTAACCTAAGTTTTGTTTTTAATATTCCAAGTTGACGATCCAATAATCATGTTTTCACCGCTTGAAAATAGTATTATGAAGCATAGATGATCATATGTTTCATCGCATTTGTGAATCATTTTATAGAAATAATAATACATTTTACATATTTAAACTTATTCAGTTGTTTTATTTTTATTATTATATGAATGATTTTGTTCTATTTGAAAGAATCTAGGTCTTATTTTCTACCTAGTTTAATAGGTATTTTAATATATTTAATTTGTTACTATGTAAATAAATAATGTTAAATTATTATTTAAGGTCAGTGTAGGAAAGAGATTTTGTTATTTGTAAAGATAGTTACAAAATGTGGTTAATATTCCTGACGTTAATCTATTTTTCAATTATGGAATTAGAACATTTTTAATGTAACACTCTATTTTTTTTTCCAAAAAAGTATAAAAACAATATAGAATAAAAATACTATAATTCTAGTATATTTTTTATTTTATAATGGAATAGTGAACAAACAAAAAAAAATATTTCATTTATGGAATAAATTTTATTATGAAATAAGAAATGAAATAAAGTTTAAATATTTTCTTTTATTTCATACTTTTGTTTATTTCATTATAGAATAAAAATGAAGTTGGATGCAGATACCCCTGGACACCATTTGAAAAACTGTCTACAACGCTATTTAAACTCTTGCAGGAAACACCTCAAAGTTATGGTCGGCCACTGCCGCCACACTTTTGATTAACTTTAACATAACTAAACTTCATTAACCAGACCTTTTTTGTAACAGATTTTAAGTAGACCTTTTTGTCAAGTAATTGAATATACCTTAGCTTTATTAGACAAACTTTGGAGATATAGTGGATAGACAACAGCGACCTCGATATGCATATGATAGGGGAAATATATAGAGGTCAAAACAACAAGAGACTCACAAAGAAGGACCAAACTAAACATCTAGCCTCTAATAAACATTTGAAGAAATAGATGTCCAAAAAAATAACTAAAGAAGTAACTCCAAAGTTGAAATTGTTATTTTTATAACACTAGTAAAGTCAGGCGACGGCGCGTGGGGTCTCCACAAGGGCCAAAATAAAATTATGTTAATTCAGTGGCACTGCAGAACACACATGCAGCGCTCGTCATAGAGACCCACATGTTTGAATTCAAAATTTACAAACATTTCTCAGGCAGAAAATATATTCATACAATGTGTAAATAAGATTGGTATAAAATTAAATAAAAGTCTTTTATTATTTTCTAGTATACTCCCCAACTCTCTTTCTCTAATCTCTATAATCTCACATGAGTAAAACGGAATTCAATCACAAATCTATTATAAAATAGAATATGATAAAAAAGAACCTTGAAAGCATAAAAGAAAATTTGGCTGAAAACAAAAAAAAAATGTATGACCATTGTCCCTAGTTATTGCACACAACCAACACTTTTGTTAATGGTTCCATGGCGCAATGTTTTATAGTCTCCTACAACAACACAATGTTTTGGTAAAAGTAAATATAACTATTTACAAACTCAATACATATCTTGTCCGTAGATGAAAATGGCAGTCCAAACTCACACGCTTGCTCTATTTCTATTCCTCTCACTAGTCACTATCTATTTTGTCTGTTTCTCTCTTTCTCAGTCTTTTGTCGTTGTTAGGGAGGCGCGTGAGTCAAACAGAACGCAATGCGAAGTAATGAAAGAGCTTTCACACAAGTCAGTCCGTACTTCACGACACGCCACAGAATACAATAAGGTTAAAAGAAAAAAAAACCCTCGAAACCAGACATAATCGACGGTCGTACCAATCCACAACATCAAAATTACGTTCTTTAGATTCATTTCCTAATCCTTTGAATCAATTATAACCATAAGACTACTTAACTTAGCAAGCATTAATTTGTTTTGCTAATTAAGAAGTTTTTTTCCTCAACAAGGATCATAACTAATCATCTCCGTTCTTACATAGCCAAAAAAGCACAAGGTTAAAAGAAAACTACTCATACGACTCTAAAAAGAAGATATTTGCTAAAAGAAACTAAAGTTACAAAAAAAAAAAAAACCGTAATAGTTGTGCCGTAAGTGTTCCAAACGGCGCCGTTAATCTCCGTCTACATCGTCTGTTCTACAGCCAAAGAGGCGGCGGCTCGTTGAGATCAATGGCTAAGCCACGTCTCTCCGTAGGGGAGGAAGGAGAAGAACTCATTAACTCAAGCACTCGAGGCGACGACGTGGCTGCGGCAGGCGATGCCGCGAAGTAAAACGGCGCTTCTGTAGAGGGGGTTCTGTCGTTTAGCACTCCGGTTCGGAGATAGAGTCGGTGTTGTCGGTAATTTCCGGAGATGTGAAGAGGAGGAGGAGGAGGAGGAGGAGCGGAGAACCAGAGGTGTTGGTTTTGGTGGTTTACTGCCGCGGCGGCTGCGGCGGAGGGAGAAGGGATGTGGTTAAGGTCGAGAGAGAGAGGAGAAGGGAAGTTAGTTTTAGCTTTGATTCCACGGAGGAAACGGGCGGCGCCGTCGTAGGCGAGAGCAGCTTCTTCGGGAGTGTCGAAAGTGCCTAACCAAACCCTAGTTTTCTTCCAAGGATCTCTAATCTCAGCTGCGTAACGACCCCATGGTCTCTTCCTTACTCCTCTGTAATGCACCTCCCTTGCACAAGTGGTCGACGCCATAGTTCTAGAGTGAATCTAGAGAGAGTAGAGATGAGAGAGTTTTTGTTTTGTTGACTTGTTTGACTCAAATGTGTGTGAGAGAGAGTTTAAAAGAACAAGGGGTGTCTCCTCTGGGGTCCACTTAAGACACCCGTAATCCTCGGCTTGTTTTATCCATCTAGGGTTTTGAAGGATCAAGCGTCGTTCATCTTTTTCTTGTTTCCTCGCGATGTGACTGTGGTTATGTTTAATGATCGTTACACGTGGGTGTTCTTACACCAAAGTATAGTGAAAATTAGGTTTTCAACAAATAAGATATTTTAGAAAGTAATGGTTTTAACGGCGGACAGAATGTACTAATTGCTTTTTATTTACTTTCTTACAAGTTCTCTTTTTGAAACATAACATTAACCCCACCTCTTTCCTAAAAAATAGATTTCACCATTTTGATAAAAATCACCTCTTCCTCATATGCAAGAAGCAACTTTATTTAAATTCTTGTACTGTTCACGAATCTCACGTGACTGTCTGTAATTAATTCATTTTTACTTTATTTTTGTTCTAAATCAGACAAAAAAAAAGAAATAAGAATCTATACTTTTGGTTCCATTTTTTTTTTTCACTTAAAATTCATTTATACGCAGATTATCAATATTCGTACAGAATAACAAAATAGCCTCAAAAACAAGAGTTCATAGGAAGCGGTAACTAGAATTCATGCAGGAGCAACTTTAACCCACATTCGGGTGACTTAAGAAAAACCATAAACATAAAAACTAACATGACATTAGCACCACAAGACCGATGAAATCTACGCAAGAACCACATAAAAAACCTAGCAGTCTTTAGGGAAGAGGAAATGCCTTTGATCGGAAGTTACCGTTGCTGCATATAGCCTTCCACCCGGTACTCTCCTGCACCCAAAACATACTTATCATTGCTGCCTCGTCCGCCAAACAATAAGACTAAGAACCGGAGTTGTCGAACAATCATGTTTTCCAATCAGTCATTGTAGGATGATATTAGTTGCCTTTATTGAACATTTTAACTTACTTTTAAAGCTATTGAAAGCAACATTAATAGTAAATTTCTTTACACATTTCTCAAAATTTATATATTATTCCATTTGTTTCAAAAAATTAAATGTTTTAGATTTTTCACACATATTAAAAAAATATACAAACTAACCCCTAAATTAACTATCTACCTTTTTTCTCTCTTATCTCTCCTCCCCCTATCTCACTATTTTTTCCCCAAAACCATGGCATATTCCTAATATCCAAGTTCTTTATGGATTTTAGGCCAATTCACCCTTAAAAAAATATAAAATTTTGATTATCAATACATCATTTATTATAAATAACAAAACTCTATACTTTTAACCAATAAAATTTTTAAAAATATAATTAATTTTTTAAAATTTACAATTTTACATTAGACTATATATTAAAAATGTAAAAAATATATCTTTTTGAAACAAATATTATTTCTATAATATTCATCTTTTTGAAACGGAAAAAATAATATTTTAAGACAAATGAATTATCAGAAGTAAATTAAAGGTTTCATAATTTGTTTTGTCCAACACGTGTAAAACAATTCTCAGAAAAATAAAAAAGTCTCTTCGTAGGCCTACGCTTAGTCCATTTTTTTGTTTCTCTTTTTAGTTTTCATTGTTTTTTAATTTTTAAGTAAGATATCCTTATCAAATGATACTACTGCGGGTGCTCTTAGTACCATACTGTAAAATGTAAATCATTCTAATTAGTAACTTACTTTTCGATGTCTGTGTTGATCGATGAGTCTATAAGGGGCACATTGCACTACCTACACTATACAAAAAGAGCACACCATTCAAAATTTTATTTGTTTTAAATTCTTTTACACGGTCCATATACTGAAAAACTTTGGTTCTCGATAAAACAATAATATTTATTTTTGGAACACTATTGATTAAAAACTATATATTGTGGTTAAAACACAATTCTATGCACTTTGTCATTTTTTCTTTCTTTGAACCACAATATAGTTTTAATACAAATGTTTTGTAAGTTGTAACGAAAGACCAAACATATTCATATTAGCATTTGAAATTTTGATGACAACACGAACTATATTATACATATTTTAAAAAATGAAAATAACAACTGACCGTGAACATAAACTCACTCCAAGTTTCCAAATTGGTAGAAACAACATTTCGCAGGGTCACCATTAAGAAAGAAGAGCCTCTGGCGTTGTATTTTACGAAGAGGAAAGATAAGGTGCGGCCTCTTTGACTGGACCTGTGCATTGATAGGATGCTGGCGTCACATATGACTGTATTACAGTCATAGCCTTCTCTACGTTTTGGACTTCCTTTTATGATCTATTTAAAAGAAAAAAAATTAGAAAATAGCATAGTAGCAATATTTTAGACATATTTATGATGTGATTAGATGATGCACGAGGACGAGGCTACAAAGAGATCATTAAATAAAGGAGCTTGACACAGCTACACTATCTATAGCTCTGACTGATTTTGTTTTTCTTTTTGTCCAAAATAATTAGCTTTTTGATGTAACTGCTGACCAAAGAAGTGCATTTATAGCATTTGACTAATTAGCAAATTGTTCACAATAAAGTTACTTCGATATATCAAACCATTCTGTAAAACCAACAATAAAGTTACTTCGATATATCAAACCATTCTCTAAAACCAAATTATTCGAAACAAATTCATGTTTAGCTATCATAGGTCAAGTTCTAAAATGTGGCCACCTAACCATCTAAAGAGTCTGAGTAAGCGTTCCACGAATATCTCTTGCCACGATTTTAATCAAATTGCTACAACAAATCAGAAATCTAATTAATTATTAAAAAATAAATTAATCATTAAAATCACTGATTAATCAGTTTAAAAATCGATTTGAACCATAAATATTAAACTTTATAGACAAATTTTTGGGGCATATAAACATGTATATTTGTCTGCATAGAGATGGAACTTTGTCCTTATATTTATAAAAGACTTCAAATTTTCTGTCATGTTTAACCGATAGGAGCAAATGTAAGTGGATTTTTAATTTTTTTTTGTTTTTTTCGCGTTATTAAAAACAAAGGAAAAGTTAAACCATAGGAAAATTGAACATTGTACTTCTAATAACAACATTAAATGTTAGGGTTGGACATAAATACTTGATAGTCAGCTTGTAGTAGCTACTTGATTCAGTTTGACTTGAAAAAACAAGTATTTGTTCTATTAAAGTCGAGTAACAAGTAAACAGATTTTATTATTCGCAAGTAAAAATCAAGTATCAAATTCATTAATTCTTAACTACTTAGTTTATTACTTGTTATCCTTTACTTGTTACATGTCATATGTTATTTGGTTTATTAAATACTTAGTATATATTTCATTAATTAATTAAAATTTACGTATTTTATGAGTGGTCATAATTATTTGTTACTTGCCTCATGTTCACTACTTGGTTGGTACACAATTCTTAAAGTCGAATACTTGTTTTGACTAAAATGTTTATCAAGTAGTCTATTTAAACTATCTTCAAGTACAAACAAATACAAAATAATAAAAGAAAAATAATTATTCAGCGTTGTTTCGTTTATTATTCGTTTTTTTCAATGAACAAAAATACATTTTCCTAAATCATAGTAAAACAATTCTTTTCTATTTTAATTTTTATAAGTGAATCATACAAAAGTGATATACTTATATAAAAGTTTTGGAATTTTTAATTTCTTACTATAATCTATTTCACGCTTGATTAAAAATCAGAAAAATGACAAAATGAAAACAATGACATCTTATTTATATATAATAAATTTATTTACCTTTAAATTTTAACTAATTATCAAATAATTTATCAATAGTTATCAAGTAATTTGTAATTTTTTTACAAATAACAAGTAATAAAACAAGGCAAGTAACTTGCAAGTCCATTAATTTTTCGCAAATACTTGAAACTGTAAGTACTCGTTTTTAACAAACCAAATACAAGTCCAAAATTTGAATACTCGTATAAGTCAATTCCAGTACTAAGTATACCACAAACACCAAGTACTCAGCTTGTGCCCACCCCTATCAAATGCACCACAAAGCACGAGGCTAAGATATGTCTACGTTTACTTATCGCATGTATTGGTATATTTATAATTAAAAACATTTAAAATTAGTCATGTATATAGCCTGATTAATCTCTGATTATTTGGTAACGTGCTAGTTCCGGACTTGCCGTCCGATTAGCGCCTAGCATAGTTCCGAATAGAAATTATTGGTAAAAAAGCATCTGATAAAGTCGAAGTAGAAATTTTTGTTTGATAAATTTAAATTCGATGGAACGATTGGTTAAATTGCAACTGTATAAATGCTAGTGTAAAATTTAGTTTGAAATTTTTTTGATGTGCATGTTAAAATTAAATGATAAAAATATATTCCTACAATAATATTTTATTTTTAGAAAATAACAATTACACAATCATTTTTTATTTTTATTAGCTTTAATTTTAGAGTAATCGCACTCCATAATCATATAACAAACCGATATTAATGGGAATGATTGGTTGAGATGTAGCAAGAGACTTTAACTTTAATTTCCATCTACAATAATAAAAATTATCAATCATATTTTATCTACTTTTTAAAACAAAAGTCAAAAAGTAGAAAAATGGTTGTAGCAACCTTATTTTTTAAAGCACTGTTTGTAAGCGATAGAAAAACAATATTGTTAAAGGAATATCTTTCCATTTTTTTTATTTTTCTCATTAATTCTTACAGTTACATTTACTATAACAACATCTAAAAATCATACAAATAAATTTCTACATTAAAATATTTACATCTATATCCCAACCAACCATCTCCATTAGCTAAGTGACCATATCTTTCTCGTAATTAGTCGAGAAAAATATCCCTGAAGCAAATTATTCCTCACCTACGTTTTCGAAAACACAAGTGGAATAAGATGTAGCAATATCAGATTTCACAGAGACTACTGTCAGAAACGTGTAGAATAAGTTGTGTA